CGCGCCCGGCCCCGCCGGGGCCTGCCGCGGCAGGAGGCGGCGGCGGCAGGGCCCACACACTCGGTCACGCCGGGAGCGAGTTTAATACAAAACATACAAAGCCAACGCGAAATGCATTTACTGCATTTACCTATGCAAACAGTACTATTTACAAATGTCGACAATTAAATAACGGTATAAAACATGGTGACGGCCAAGTAAAAATAAAACCGAGAGGACGATGAGGGAGCTGTGTTCTCCGCAGGCAGCTGGAGCGCGTGCACCCGTGCAGCGCGAGCGAGCTGTAACTGCTCGCAAAACTCGCTGTGCATCTTCAGGGCAAAGACGCAGGGACAGCGGCGCGCTGAGAGGCCAGACTTTGAAATGTCACATAAAAATTTGAAAATAAATTAATTAAGGAAAACAGAAATAACGCAGGCGTACGAACAGGCTACCTGGGTGGTGACAGGGCCTTCGTCGTTGTACTTCAGCAAATTTAGGGATAAAGTTAACGACCTACACCGACCAACGCAGCAAGGGCCGGCCTGGGAACCCCGGGCAGCCCCGCCAGCGCGGGCGCTCCGGCTGCCCAGCAAGAAATAACATCATGGTTCCAGTTTGTAGGAATAGCTTGGCCAAAGCCTCTGCATATTTAGTGACTAAAATCAGTTCTTTACATGTTGGAGCAATGCTCTGAATGGCTTCAAGCTGTGACGGAGGACGGCTGCAGTGCACTCCCCATGGATCTGTCGGGAGCCAGGACTCCTCCAAGTCAGTTTTCCTTCTGTGCTCAGATACCAGCTGGAGCATTTCCCATTAACATCTAGGCTATGCGTAGTACCTGCCAGATTTTGTCCTGTAATACATTTATCGCATTTGTACATGAAGAACAAAAGTTAGCTTTGCAGCTGTTAAAAAAAAATAAATTGTAATTACAAACTTTAAGTCCTCAAGAAATAATTGATAATGGGCTATCATAACTTACAGAACATTGTGCAGCAAAATTTAGAGAGAGACTTTACATACCCAAATAGCAAAAAAAAAAAAGGAAAAAAATATATCTGACCTATACAGAAACTAAAAAAAAAAAAAAAAAAAAAAAAAAAAGAAATCAGCCAGATAATAAAATAATTTTGCTCTAATACACAGCAAACATTCCTGCCCAGCCCCTAAGAGGATGACATTTCCAGGCAGGCTCTGAACAATGGAGAAGAAAGGACGGATTTAATTCCACAAATCCTCTTCTGCATCTGCTGTTGCATGGATCTTCACCTGCTCAAAGTGCACCAGCACCCAGGGAACTGCCCGGCAGGGGGTCTCAGAGGTGACTGAAAGTTGCTGTCACTGAGCTGCTTTTGCCCCCCTTGGCTGCCACACGCCAAAGAAGCAACAACAATGGAGAATTTGTAAAAACAGCAAAGTGTCTTTCATTCCATCATTGCTCTAAACTGCTGCGTGTACTTAGACAGCTCCTTGGTTTGATCCTGAAGCTCCTTCATGGCCTCTGCGTTTGGATATTGTATTGCAGCATTTTTGGTGGCGAGAGCCAGATTCTTCAAGAGACTGCAAAACCGGCTGCTGCTGTGGAGAATGTTGTTCCGAGCATCTCTTTCTTGAGTTTCCTGGCAGAGAGAATCCACTAGCTTTTGTCCCACCATAATGATCAATTTGCTGTGGGATATGAAGACTTCGGGCGGCTGGTTGTTGCTCAGACTGTTAGTAAATACACCCATTGCCTTGTGAAGTGCACCAAAACACAGCTTGCAGTGTTCCGAGAGAGCAATTTTCTTTGCAGAGTCCTGCTTGCTTTGAATTACGGTCTTTTTTGCAGATGGCAAAACCTGGAAAAAGGTTAAAAAAAAGAATAGACTCAGCTTGGTGGCACACTGATTGTTTCTTTATTTGCTCTACCCTATATTCTTCACTTACAGGGAGTCTAGTCAATTAATAGTCTCCAAATTGCCCCAGCCCAGGAGTCTCTTACAATCATTTATCTTTCCATAAAGTACTGGACTTTGAAGTGGTATTTTCTCCTGATAGCCCTTTCCCTAAACAAATTTCACTGAACAGGATTTTAATAATGGATAGCACACAAAGTGCTGCAGCTAAACATCAATCCTTTATACAGCCTGGACTTCAAGCTTTCAGATAGTACAAAACATTCAGACTTGCTCTTTAATGGTGCTGACTTCATGAGGGTTATGAATGATTAAAACCGTACAATAACAAGAGAGTCAGTCCTTATACCTGACATGACAAGATGTTTTGAAATACTAACTCCCACAGCCTTATCCCAAATGATACACAAAGGCAAGCGAATAAATAGTATGACTTCAAACTAGAATGGTTCGTTACATTTGAGGAAAATAAATGTTTTGCATGGGTTTTCAGCAGTAATTCTAAGAACTGGTTCTGGGAAAATGAACTATGAGAAAACAAATAGACCTCTATGTATAGATATGTGTGTCCAAATGCAAATTATTTTGAATTTTAGCAAGCACAGAAATCAGGGGCTAGAAGTCCTCCTAAGTAATAGTTTTCAAAATCAGAAATACCTTTGGTTTTGAATCTGTGCTCTTCTCTGCTACTTCTTTACCTGAAATGGTTTTCTGTGCCTGTTACAAATCAAAATGAAAGCAAAGTTGAAATGGTTTACATAAAATATTTAAATATAAATGTGTTTTTCTGTTGTTTCAGGGGAAAATAACTGCTTGCTATGCAGCCTTCATGTTACGGACAACAATGGTACGTTTATTGGAAGCAACTGTAGTAGGTTTTTTCCTACTAAAAATTTAGTGTCTGATCCTGCAAGATCTAAGACTGAAACCAACATCAACAAAACATAACATTTCCTAAATTCTAAGGACAAGCCAGCATTTCTTCGTTGAAACCAAGAGAGTTATAGTGTTAGGAGACATTTCAGTAATTCTAAGGAGAATGATTCTAACAAACATTCAAAATCATTCTAACAAATAAATTTGATAATTCACAGCAAGAGTTTTAATTTGTTAAACCAAAATTTTCTATGAAAGCATGCTTTCCAATACACCTCAAGTTAGAAAGTTAACATCTCTTGTATAGTCGTGTCAGAGTCAAACAAACAAAACGTACTGGCAAGAAGAGAACCGCTAGTCAAAAGAGAAGAAACAAATTGCTAACCCCCAGCTAAAAGCTGTCTTTCAAATGAATTTAAACGGGCAAGCTAAAAGTCTTTTCTCAGTGCTGGCTGCCTGCCTGGGTAAATTCTCAAATGCCAGTTCTCTTTATTACTTAAAATTACTGATTGTTCTACATGTGCCATGTAGTGCTCTAACAAAATCCTGAATTCACATAAAGTCCGGGAAATAGGAAGTAGTGCAAAGTGAATTTGGCACTAGTGCAAAGATAAAATAGTGCTAATAGCTTAATATCTGCAAACAATCAGGAATACAGATAGTAAAATGCAGTTATGCTGACCTGTAACTGAACATAATCACAGTCCTCGGTGGCATTTTCTTTTGGTTTCTCAGAAGAGACCTGACTTTGGTCAGGTTTATCGGAAGTATTTCTTTGAAGTGCATCTATTTCTATTCTTCTTGGCACTATGATTTGTTTTGCCATTTTGTATTCTGGGTTCACTTTTGATTGCTTAATCTCTTGTTCTTTCTCATTCTTTCTGAAGAGAAGCTTTCCATTGGCAATGATGATGGATACGAACCTCTTGATATCATCTGGAATCGTGCGGGCTACCATAACAAAGCGATCAAGATCATCTGGGTTGTTCTTAGGTTTCCTGAGGACCAAAGTCTCTAGTGACCAGTTGCAGTTGTTTAGAGCTTCTCTTGTTTCCGTTAAGATTTCGAATGAGTTCATAAGAATTTCTAGCTGTTTTTTAATTCTGGTCTGAAGGGTGTTATCAGTGAGGTAAGAGGCATTTACCTTCATGACTTGAGCAAAGGCCAAGAATTCTCCCAGCGATACTTTTATGTGATCAACTGCTCTGTGGATTTCGTCAATGCTTTTCTCTAGGTGCTCTTGTAATCTCCATTTACTGCTCACAAAGATCATTAAACTCGCAACCGAACTGGATACGCTGTGCTGCAATCCAGTCAGCGTCTCTATGGCTACGTCAAGTTCCAGTTTAATTTCTTTGGCAGGCTCTTCTGATGACACAGAAAAAGACTCAGCAGAAGAGTTTGAGGACGTAGAGAGGGTGCTGCTTCTGCTATCCACACTAGAAACAGATAATCTGTCTTGTTCTAATTTGGCATCTCTTGAGAGCTGTGGAGGAGCACTGTATGATTGGTCTCTAGAACTATCGCTGGCTTTTTCCATCTCTTTCTTGGACTGCAAAGTGGTGGGCAAACTTTTTGGAATATCATAAACATTCTTTTCAGAGGTCTGATTCTCAACCTTTGGAGCCGGGAGACTTGCGGGGACATCACAGCTGCCATTTTGTGGCAAAAGGAGCACGTCCCGTGAGGACGGAACATCATAGAGATGGACATCTGGAAACGTTAATTTCCGTTGTGTTGGTGGAATATCATATAACTGTGGATTTACAACTTTGGCTTCTGTATTTGTTGTTAGTGCCTTGTACCTGGCTGGTGGTATATCGTACAGCACCTGGTTCCCCAAGGAATGGCCAGGGGGGTTTTGTTTTAATCCTGTTTTTTCAGGCGATACTGGAATATCATAAATCCATTCTGATTTTCGAGGATTGGGCAAGGTATTGCAATGGCCCCAGAACTTTTTCTGAGATTCGTTTTCTGACACATCCGCTTCTCTTTTGGGAGGGACATCATATAACTGCAACAGAGCACACAGGATTTATAAGCAGTGTTTTATACAAGAAATAAGAAACACAACTGAACTCTCAGAGCATGCAAATGTATGCAACTCCAGTAACGTCAGTGGAACTGCACCACAAAAAGGCTAGCCCATAATTTTTATTTTCTTTCTAAAACACACAAGCGGCACATAAGAAGGTTAAAATATTTTGAGCACAGGTGATTAAATCATACAGCAGTGTCCCCAGCCAGTGAAATCTGTGAGCTCTTCCCTGGCTCCTTTGGGGTGGGAAACTTTCATAGTTTTCTGGAATGGCTACAAGAAAAGTGAAATGCCAGTTTATTGGTAGGTAACGACAAACGCTCAGTTTTACAGAATGAAGGAGGTCAGTTTTTATTAGCCTCTGCATAAGAAAACACTTGATTTTCCAGTATCCCCACTCACATTCACATGCATATGCTGACAAAAAAATAAATGACCAACAGACACAACTGACCGTTCTCAAATAACTGCAATGAGTTTAAATTTTTACTTGATACAGGTTTGCTAAGACAGATACAGATCTTGCCCGATGCCTAAAGAATACATGTGTGCACAGCTGAAGTCCATAAGCTGGAAAATGCGAATGCAAGACCACTTCTTGTGTGAGAAAATCCAGACTAATACTAACAGGTGCTTCGAGACAGATCGTACCTGGATGCCTTACAAGCATGAAGCACAAGTGTGAGGGAGTGCAAGGAGCTATAGGAGTGTGCAGCAACAAGAAACAACTGAAGGTACCGCTATGTAATAAAAATTTGAGAAAGCACTGGCCAGGTCAGGCTTTCCCATCTGCAGAAAAAGTGCATGAGAAGGGGATCCCAAACAAGGGTGTTTCAGACCAAAGCCAGAATTTTCCAAATTTGCCATGAACAAAGAATTCTAAGAAAATTTGATTTTGGAAGCAACAATACACCGTGTCTCCAAAAGGAAATCTGCTCCCAGGCTGTTGCAGCTGGTCGGTACGATTGCTAACAGCCATGAAGATGTCAGGAACGAGCAATTGCTCATATGCCAGCGCCCCAGCTCTGGGTAGCACCAGTCCTACCGTCACTGCTCAACAGACTGCGCAAGACTGGCTTCTCCAGTCGTGGGGCAGCCGTGAACCTACAGCACTTAAATCCACAAAACCAGGAAGCCTCAGATTTCCTGCGCTGGCATGGTCTGTCCGGAGATCCCACACCTCAGCCCTGGGCATGTGTGCTGAGGAGCCTGTCAAAATCCTCTTGGATCCTAAAATTGTTCAGGAAAACCAAAATATTTGGCGCTCAACTAATAAAGAGTTTCCATCGAGGCATTTTCTTTGTTGTGAAATTTCAGATCAGCCCTTTCTTCAAGGATGGTACTTGCCAAACTGGGGAAGAGATGGAAAGCCTGACACACACACCCCCCCCCCCCCCACACACGCCGTGTGTCCTCCACCCAAAGCCAGGTGTGCTCCACTCCCAAAAAAAGGTGGCAGGAGAGTGCTGCCTGGAATGCGGACAGTTAGTTACTATCTGCTTAAATATTACAAAGAGACATTCAAGAATGTAGGGTATTGAATTTGCTTTTCACGCTGTCATAAAAAGAAGTTAAGGCAAGAGATCTTGTTGCCTGCAGTCTAAAAAGCGAATGCAAGCACGGTCCTCGTCCTGGCAGGTACCCTGCCTGTCCAGGAGCCAGGGAGTATTTCTCTCTTTAATATGAAGGACAAAGCACTGCACTCAAGATGTGCTGGTCTTATCCGCACGATCGCCTTGAGGAAGGTTCAGCACACGTGCCCAACGTCATAGTAATGAGAGGTTATTCTCTTGTGTCCAAGAAGGCTTACTTACGTTGCCCACCGGTGAGTCTTTCTGGATAACAGCTCCCGCCTTTTCTGGGCTGGATGGGATGTTGTAAAGCTGCTTCTGCTCTTCCTGGAAACACTGGGTGGATCTGACCGGCACAGAGCCCTTTCGTGCAGTGGGCGGAGTGGCACCGCTCTGGTTGAAGGGAAAAAAACAGGTTGATTTCAATCCTTTTTAGAGCCCACTGAAGACTTCGGTGGAATCAAAGGCTTTTGAGTCATACACTGCCCAGCTCCTGGTTTGGGCAGCGTGGGACAAACCCAGCGTGCCAGAGCTCTCCCGCAGCGCTGCGGGGAGGGCGGCGGGCACGGGGTGGTGGAAGGCAGCCGCCACCTATGCGCCTGGCTTTGGGTCTGAGCAGGGATCACCCCACTTACACAAAGCGGGTAACACAGAGAAGTTCGTGGATAACTTGGTACTAAATGAATTAGAATGGGCTCAACCCTGCACTGCCCAGTGCTGCCAGGGAGCGTAAGGTGCGCGGGGAGGCTCCGTGGACGTGCCCCAGTCCCACACGCAGCTCTGCAGGTAGGCGACGGGATGGGGCTGAGGCCTCGCGTCTGTCCCAGCCTGGTGACCTGCACAGGCTGCAGTGAGATGTGAGGACACGTGGTGACATTCCCTCTCCCCAGTGAAGCAAGGTATCAAGAGCAAGATCATGTAACAGGACGCTGCCGTGGTAGATGCAATCGATGTGTTGCCCTTAACCCCGAGTGCATCATGGTTACATGATCTAATCCCTTGCATTTTGTTGCCCAGGAGGCAGGTGGTGTGGGTGACATTTAGTTTCTTTTTGTACATGCCTTAGTGACTCTTCTGTAAACATCTTGAAATCTTCCTGATCAAATGACACAGAGACAAAACATTTCCTGACGGATAAACCAAGGCAGAGAGAATTCATCTGTGCCCTGGAACTCAGTAATAGTAAAACTGAAAGTGTTTTTTAGAAACGTACCAAATTTAAGACACATTTCCTCTAAAATTCAAAAGAAAACTGCTTTAGGTTTTGAACTTCCCTAAAAATATATGGGTTTCTGCCAAATTTTACAAAAAGTAAACAGGGAAACGCTAAAATTTACCTTAAAATCTATTCTGAGGTCCTACAGGGTCCCAGCTGCACGGGGGGGACCGTGGCAGGACTCACCTGTGTGAATAAGGACTCCCGGCGCTGTGTGGATGGGACATCATACACTTCACTCCTGATATTGGGGACTGAAGCCCGGCATGCTCTTGGGAGAGTAAGCAGGTGCTTTTAGGGGGGAAAAAAACAATAACAAGAAAGCTGCAGTGAGCAGTAAACTCAGGACATCTTTGAAAACTCAATTAGTTGAATAGGCTGCCATTAGAGTAATCACTCTTAAGTGATTAAAAACCTTTCAGCTTTTCACTGATGGTGATAGACAGGAGCTGACCTTACAAGCAGGCATGGTATTTTTTTCCCCATAATTATGCTTTGACAGCATTTCTGCTTTATTTCAGATCAGATAAGAATTGACACATACAAATCAAGGACAATCTGCCTTACTAACCAAGGGAGGGAAAAGATTTGGAGACAATCCAGCTTCAGTTATCACTTAAATCTTTAGACTACCCAAAAGCAGAACGACTAAAAAAAGAAAGCGGGGGAATTTCTACTTCTCCAGTCTCACAGAGCCATTAGGTCAAGCCATATTTAGCGGGAGTAAGAGCAGCAAAAAGGTACAGGCTGAGATGCATTATTCTGTAGTTATGAAAAAGGGACTCATTTGAGAGGAGTAAACACAGTTACTGTGATGTCCTGTCCAGCTCCATGAACAGAGAAGCCTGATCTGGGAATTACATTATTTAGGTCAATTACAGACTAATTCTCCTGTTTGCTTAAAACATCATTTTAAGAGCTATGACCAGTCTGTGGGACAATCGGTTAAGATGCCAAAATATGAATGTTGGGAAAGGACTTTTTTTGAAATCAACCCCAAAACCGTGGAGTTTTGTTCATTTAGCAGGGGTTTAGCCTGGCTCTCCACAGCTAGTTTATAAGTGGAGTATTGTAAACTACTGACCCACAGAAACACGGCCGTGTTACAATAAATTATTTAAAATTGGAGGTAGCATTCTCCATCATCTAAGTGAGCGTTGTAGTGACTAAGTTTAGGGGAAATATGGTAGAGGAACAAGACTCCAGCTTTACAAGTGCTTGCTTCGCCTTTGTCAAAGCTCTCATCTGAAGAAAGGGAATGATGAGTGAACACAAATTCCCCTAGTGCTCTGTGATATGAGCCGTCTTGCTTGCAAACAGCGGCAGAAGAGACTTTCCTGAGTAGAAAGGGTAAGAGAGAAGTGGTATCAAGAAAGCCATCCTTCGCCCAGGTCTGTTTTCAGATGGACAAGTCTTACTCAGCATATAGCAAAAAGGAAACTCACTGAGTATCATATCTTACTACCACTTCAAGAACACATTATTTTAAAGTACTTTCAGTCACCATAAAGCAAGACGGTGCTCTCTGTATTAGGCAACAAATAAAGAAGCGACAAGGCTTTTCCATAGGGTGAAAGCACATAGGCTTTGAGGGATTTTGTTTTGTTTTATTGCTTTCAATCAGCTCCCTCGAAGACTTACAGTGGCTTTATCCAGCTGCTCAAAGGACAGCTGAGCACGCCAGGAATTTTGCCAGTTGTCCCATAGGATCTCCACGAGGCGACCTGGAGCGCTGCGGTTCGTTCTGCACTGGCACAGGCTGTCCAGCCCTGAGCCTCCCTGTGCAGATGCGCATGGCTTGTGACCGCCGCGCTCCAGTTGGCGTAGGAACAGCTGTGATGTTGGGCAAGAGGCAGCTCAGGCAAATCTGAGCTTCTAAATACTAAACGCAGGCTAGGGCTTTTCTTTTTTTTTTTTTTTCTCCTTTCTCCATTAGAGTAAACAAGGCTTAGGTATATAAACTCATGACATGGCAGAGAGACGGGACTAGCCAAGGAGCTCTTCTGTTGGGCCATTCATTCAGATAAAGAATAGTAGATGACATTTTCAGCCTGATTTGCTGGCACAACATGGAAAATTTGTATCCATCTCACATTCAATTTGCAAGTGCCTTCTTTAGGGTTAGGAATGCGGAGAAATTGGATCACAGCAAGTGCAAAAGGGGCTTTTGCAGCTACTACTCAGTTTGAGCTTGCAGTTATGGTAACTGTGCACAAAGGCTGAATGTACAGCTGCACTGCTGACAATTAGGTTTCAGTCACCAGAGATGTACCAAGTTTGTCTGTTTTCCAGCACCCGTTTGCGACGCAGAAGGAACCAGCACCTTGGTTTCCATAACTTGCTTTTTGGCACAGTAAGATGAAACCTGGCCGACCGAGTCCCATAAATCAAATGATCATTAAATCAGCCTAAAAGGCTATATAGTTCAGGGCTGAATTTCTTTCCTTTTTCAATTAACATTTCTAACGTGATTTTCATACACGGAATAAACAGCCAGCCAGGGCTGAAGAGCTCATGGGACTGAACAAAAACTTGTACTTGAACTCCCTCCCCACCTGCTCCATTTACCTTTCATTAGAAAAGATTCCCCATTCATTTTATGCTGAAGAAAGCACAAGGGTTTTTTTTATGTTAAGACACTTGATATAACATTTAGTCAAATTACATTTTCCACTATGTTTCATTTGAACGCCCAATGCAAGGAGCAGGGAGAAAGAAGACGCCAGGCCAGGCAGCTGTAATGAAACCCTGGGAAGCTAGCTTTGCAGTTCCCCTCCGTAACTGGGGGGACCGGTGGCTGCTCTCACCCCGTACACCCTGGTCACGGTCTCAGCAGCAGCAAAAAGAGGTTGGGAGAGAAACTGATTCAGAGCACACAAGCAAACCCTGTGTCCTCCAGCATGTCTATAGCAGGTGCTGCTACTTTGTGCAAGCGTAGTGACAACTTTGAGTAGCAGAAGAGAGAGGCAGCGGCACTCTGAGCTTGCTGAGGCCCTGGAAGGAGTAGAAACTAGACCAAAGGCAGCAATCACACAGCAAAGGGTGATTTTTTTCTTTTTTTTATTACGAATCATCTTCCTGTGCAGATGGATGCAAAGACCCCACATGTACCCAAAGGACTCTGGACGGATGCGTGCTGTAGACCATCAGAGGAGAAAGTTCTGTGTCTTGTTACTTTAACTTTGGGGTAGGTTTGTAAATCATTTCCAGATTCTTCCAAACAAATGGTATACTCTTTACTTCCTGCCCTATTTTACAGCTGCTTTAAACTGTCAAAGAAAGTGAGGCACTACAGAATATAGAGGCTCTCGTCTGTTGCCCAGAGCAGCATTTCTCACATAATGCTATAAACTGTAGTAGAATTGATGGGAGTTTCCTAAACACCATTTATTTGAATGGCTTTGCTGCAAATTCCACTGAAATGCTCAGGCCAATAGCCTTTACTATTTTCCAGGTCCCAATGATTGTTTTAATAATAACATTTGTTACTTTTATAGCTGCTTATATTCTTACCTGGTTTGTTGAGCTTTGGGTCCTTTCACTGAGCAGCTGTGCAGCCAAGGCTGGTACCTGATATATTCCTTGGGCAGGCAGGGTAGAGACCCTAGCTGGAGATTTAACCCACCCCTCCATCTTCTCATAGGTAGACGACAACACGGGAGGCTTGGGGAGGGAGGGAACCTGGTAGATGTTTTGCTGGCCCGCTGGCGACTCTGCGGAGTCGCTCTGGGCAGAAGGAGGCAGCAGGACGGCTTGAGAGGCGGCGAGGAGCTGGAGGCGGTTAGCCGGGGCCAGGCCCTGCCTGCCATGGAGGGAGCATTTCCACCAGCCCTCACTGCCAATGACGTTTTGGTCCAGAACCGTCAGGATGTCTCCTTTGCGGAAGGCCAGCTCATCTGAGCACTCCGCTTTGTTGTCGTATAGCGCCTTCGCCAAGGTATTCTGGAGAGAGAAAAAACATCGGCAGTGTGCTGTTACACCAGCAAGTGTTAATTGGTTTTGGTTTGGTGTTTATCTCCACCTTAATTTCATTTTAATTCAAATCCACCCATTTTCACATTAAACAACATTTCTCAGAGCATTGGTTTCAGAGAGTTAAACGTTTGCAGCCTGTGTCTGCTATGTTCAGTGCAGTAAAGAAATAGATAATAATAATACTGCAAATGTTTCTTCGCCACCTTTCCTCACCAAGGCTCTTGAAGAGCACTGCCAATGCTCATTACTTAAACTTATTACTTATGAACATCCCTATATGAAAAATAGGTATTTTTTTCCCCACTGGCATTCTGTGAATTCTTTCTCAGAAGATGCAGAGAAAATGCATCACCCATCCAAAAATAAAATTCATGCCTTCCTGCCTGCTACCCAGTTTATCTGAGTACTTCAACTGCACATGAAAAAGGCTAAATATTTCTTACCTAAAAAAAAAAAAAAAAAAAAGAGAGAAAAAACCCAACCTTGCTTATTTTCCTTTAAACTTTTTCTTTTCTCAGAGCCTTATGAAGGCAGACCTCAACAATGCCAACATTAAGGGGGTTAGTGGTAACACCCGCAGTAGAACACTGCTGAAGAGCAGCGGTGGGCTGCGGTACTTGTGAAGACCCAGACTCCAGCTAGCTGTGTCCATGTCCACCCCAGACTAGCGAGTTGGATCCTACTGATCCAGCGCATCCCAGGCTAATGATTTATGTGACACATTAGCACAGGGAAAAAAAAAAAAAAAATCTAACTATGCACACAGGGACACCAAACAAGTAGCTCTGCTGGCTGGTAAGTCTTCACAGCGGGTCAGTGCGTTTGTGAGCTTATCTTCAGGTAAGCACACCTGAAACAGCGTCTGCGTTTCTCTCCATCACACAGACATCACCTGTATCTGAATACTTGTGTCTCCAGTCTCTTTCAGCATCTTCATACAGTGCTCTTACTGTAATATTTTTTTAGACAGGAAACCAAGGAAGAATAGAGCAAGCAACTTTCCTAAGATCACAGAAAACTTGAGAGAGTGCAAATATTCATATTTCCCAGCTTCTTCAACACAGGGCAGCCCTACCTGTCTCATCTGAAGCCTATAAATTTCTGGCAGTCACAAATGTGTAGCTCACCACATTTTATTTTTAGCATATTTATTTTGGGCTCTTCCTTACTCATTACAAGATGACAGTTAAAAGAATGAAGAGTAGTAGCAGCAAGTAGCTTTATTCACCTGGGGCATTTGTGCAAAGGGTAGAGTGAGCTGTGGGCGTAGTGGTTTTCAGTACAAGATACCATTTGCGTTCAGCTTCAAAATGAGACGGACTGCTTCCCAGGCAGTGGGACACTGGCTGTGTTTCAGCATTAGTTTCTTATCAGAAAGTGCAAGTAATGTCCAAAGAGATAGTACCCAAATAGGAAACGTGATGCTTTGTATTTTTGTCCAGAGCATTTGCTGTAAAGCAACAGCTGGTTTGAAGCTGTAGCAGAAGAAACCCAACTTGTCAGCTCAGCTGACGAAAGTGGCCGGTTGTTAGCAGCATGCATTTCTCCGTCAGGGTGGCCATGAACAATGGCCTTTTTATGATACATGGGCTTGTCCATCAGCAGCTGCCAGAGATGGACAAGAGTCCCATTTACCTTATGTCATAGCCTGGTTAAAAAAGTCTTCTTGCCTTGAACATGGGAGCCCACTTTCTATTTGGGCAATGCCAAATGCTCTGAACCACCTGCGTTGAAGCCAGGCCTTCGGGAATCCCACCGCAGCCCGGGTGGGTTTGGGCTTCACACGACATTGTTGCAATTGGGAAAAAAAAAAAAAAAAAAAAAAAAAAAAAAAAAAAAAAAGGAAAACAGCCAACTTTTCCTATTATTCATCAACAACACTTCCAGATCTGACTTAACATTTGATCCCTTCTTGCTGGGCACTGCACAGACATGCTGAAAGACAAACCCTCTTCTTCAGGCCTGAAGAGGATGGGCAGAGGGGCACTCTCCCCCTTTTGCAAGAGGGAACTGAAATGTGGAGCCTTATCCAGGCGCACACAGGAAGCCGGTGGCAGAGCCAGGAAGCCCGACCTCAGGAACTGAGCCCCTCTCTCGTGCGTTAGACAACAGACCGTCCTTCCTAGCTGCACCAACACAAATAAGAGGAAAATTTGGTTCACGCTATGGTTTTAAAAGGTACCTAAATGTCGACGTTTCCCTAGCTAATTCTTTCCTGTAGAAACAGCATACTAAACACATCATTGGGCCTAATTCTTTAATTAATCAATGTATGAAACTATGCAACTCTAATTTCAAATCTCATTTGTTTTAGAGTAAATATGCTGATTTTCACTAGGTCAGAATTTGGCCTGTACACATCAGTATTTCTGCAAATAATTACTGTAGACTACAGCCTAAGTTATGTAGAGTGAGGAGGTACTCTTCCCATCAGTCATACTTCAGCAACAATAAAACGTGACTGCAGCAGGTATCAGAAGGAGAAATAATTCCAACTATTCTCTCATCTCTTTTTCCTAGACATTGCTAGGTCTGCTTTGCTGCAAAACAAGTGAAGCCAGAGAACAGCCAGGTCAGTGACAGCAACAGGGAGGCCTAAGCTCCATTCAACAGCAAAGGTATTCCACAGAAAGGTTGTTAGAACTCAACTGATCAACCTTTCATTTGGCAAAGTCAGATGAATGCATTCAGGGGCACCCACACCAAATGAAAAGTTGAATTTTAAACTTATACCATGAAAGTCACAAACCTTTTCAACAGAGGGGTCTCTTTGCGTGAAGCTCAGCACACATTCCTTTGGTTTTGCCAATAAAACTGTGCAAACACCCAAGGGCGAGTAGCCCACAGTGAGATACCAATTCAAAGCAGAACACAGCGGTTCAAATTTTGAAAGGTGGTCTCTGATTTGCAGAGCTCAAATTAGGGCACGTGGGCTCGCATCTGTAGGCAACACGAATACCCAGGAACCTTGAAATCACCTCAATTGCAAGCCAAGCAGGGGATTAAAAAAAAAATTATAGGACACCTTAGAAAACCTGACTTAGCTAGATCTATAAACAGATTTGTTGTTCATCTCATATCCCATCCGTAGGGCTGGAACCAAAAAATTTAAGATTTAAATAGAGAAGTGATGCAGACAGGCCCCAACCTCCAGACTGTAGAACATCAATGAATTAGAAGATTGTCAGACTTCTGCAGGTCAGCAGAGCTCTCAAACAGTAGAGGGAAAAAGGGAGGGGGAGGACACGACACGACAGAGAAAGAAAGAAAAGGAAAGGTTCTTCCACCTAAGGCAGCGCTAAATTAAATTCTAAGTTTCAGGACACATGGTCAGTACTATAGAGTTGGAAAGCGAATCCTTTCCATCCACTCTCAGTTTCAGTACTGCATAAGTGCACAGCAACGTCACTCAATTTTTCATGATTCGCTTTCAGGACCAGCCCATCGCTGGCATCGTAGGCCAGCCACCGGTAGAGACACGATTCCAGGTGACAGTGAAAGGCATTAGTGATCTAACTGGCTTGCAGCCCTTGGTGACATTTTTCAGTGCATTTTAAAAAGGGTAGAGAAACTTAGGGAGGTATTTTAATGAAGATTTCTTATCCTTTTGACTTGGAACTAGTCTCCAAAGGAATTTATGTAAGGTAGAAATGTGTAACACAGAATATATCAGCAATTTGTAACGAGTAAACTACAGGGAGGTCCCAGGCAAAACTGAGACGTTGCCAAAAAAAAAAAAAAAAATTCCAAACCACTAAGACAAAACAAAAAATCCCCACCAACATCTTCCCTGAACAGACTCTTGTGTATTTTCAGTGCCCACAGCCTGACAGAAAGTTGCAGCAATACATTGAAAAACCAATACAAGCAGCACCACACCACTGAAGTAGTTTCATTTCTTCTGAATTCTAATCTCCCCAAAAACACAGAAGGAGGAACATTTTCACAGGGTGTAAAAACAACAGGTCAACCAGGTCTGCCTTTATATGCTGCTCTGTGTTCTCCTTTGCTCCTCCACCTACAGGACTATTAAGCCCCCTTTATTTCTTGTTTCCTTTTGCGGTGGGCTGACCCTGGCTGGGCACCAGGCACCCCCCAAAGCCACTCTATCACTCCCCCTCCTCAGCTGGGACAGGGGAGAGAAAAATATAACGAAAGGCTCATGGGTCGAGATAAGGGCAGGGAGAGATCACTCACCAATTAGTCACAGGCAAAACAGACTCGACCTGGGGAAATTAGTTTAACTTCCTACCAATCCAATCAGAGTAAGGTAATGAGAAAATAAAACCCAAATCCTAAAACCCCTTCCCCCCACCCCTCCCCTCTTCCCGGGCTCAACTTCACTCCCAATTTTCTCCACCTCCTCCCCCTGAGCGGTGCAGGGGGACGGGGAATGGGGGTTGTGGTCAGTTCATCACACGCTGTCTCTGCCGCTCCTTCCTCCTCAGGGGAGGACTCCTCACACTCTGCCCCTGCTCCAGCGTGGGTCCCTCCCACGGGGTGCAGCCCTTCAGGAACGACTGCTCCAGCGTGGGTCCCCCACGGGGTCACAAGCCCTGCCAGCAAACCTGCTCCAGCCTGGGCTCCTCTCTCCACGGGGCCACAGGTCCTGCC